GAATTAAAAAGTGAAACTCTTTGTTGGAGAGCCAGACATTTAAAAGGGAATTGGAGCGCTTACCGTAAGGTCTGTAACGGCTGATCGTGGAACCGGGAAATCGGAGGCAATTTTGCGCCTTTGTAAGTAGAAACTGTCGTATCTTCTGTGTCTTATCTACCGCAACCTGGGACAGCGACAATCAAGATGTTTTCCTCATGATTTTGAAGGATTTCCTTTAAAGAAGCAAAGCGTCGAAGTGAAGAAAGGTATCGGTTTATGTCGTCCGGATTTTTATTCATTTTGATGGTGCTATATAAGTTATTATTTAGTTGCCACAAGACATGAAAGCTTCAAAAACCCTTTGAGTGCAGAATTATCAAACTCGGGAAGAAATTATAAACACTGTTTGGCAATTACACCATTTCTCAAGATGCTACAAGATATCATGGCCGCATACTTGTAGACCTCAAATAACGGCAAAAGGAATATACAGGAGGACGTGACATACCGAAACATCTAACTTCCGCTGTGAAACCTCTGAGAACCTTTCCTTCATTCAAGGATTTTAATACTTTGAAGTCGCTAGCCCCATCGGCTCGTTCCTTTTTTTATTTTATGACTGCCTGATATTTTCCTTGTTTACATGTTACTTAGTTTCTTAGTAGCAAGAGAAAAATACCAGGCTTGGTACGTAGATTCTGTATCGACAGTTGTTGTATTGTGTGAATGAAACCCTCAGTATGCTAGGTACACAACAGTGAATTTCGCTTTTAATTCGTTTGTTCGTTTTAACTCGTTTGTTTTGTTTGATATGTCCTCTTGAAATATTTGCCGTTGAGATTGTATGTTATCAAAAGCCGTTTTCAACCACAGCCAGATTTCTCGCACAATTACAGCCGCCGCGCAAGCAAAAGATGCAGTCCGTGTTCGATCTGTAACATACTTTTTACTCCAAAATTAACTGTGGGTTGATGCAGTGTGGTCCTTTGTGGAATTAGTGGAAAGCTCCAAAGCATTGCACAAGTTAGTTAACCAGCAAAGTAACTAAAGAGCTTGATTTTCAATATTTCTTTAACAGCTGTCGAGGGCCGGGACTGGGTTGTTCGTGATAAAACTTATGATATGCAGCCAACTGTCAAGATTACAAGCAAACTTGACGACGTCGCATGAGTGTATCATCTTTTTCTTTTTGTTACCCAAGCCGAAAATGAACTGGAAACTAATCAAAACACTCGAAAGGGGTTGGTACCTGGTCTGAGCTTTTCGCGGTTCAATACACCACTGCTGTCGAATAATATTTTTGCTTTGTAAATGAACATACGGAAATGAATCCTTCTGTAAACGAAATACGCCAAAAGGCAAAACCCTGCACCTTTAAACAGGAGGTCGCCTGTTTCGCAAAAGGATTTCGTCAGCCCAAAACAAGGCTTGAAATATCGGCATCAACAATCGATGCATTTCAGACCATGATCTGGGATAAACCTGGAGATGACATTTTACCAACGTTCGGTAAGTGCTCTCTTTTGCCATTAAAAAGGGTCCCGAATTAGGTTATGAACGTCTAGCTTAAGCCTGAATTACCTCTATCTGTTTGGAATATTCCTGATTAAAATTAAATTCCATTTGGGTAATATAAACAAATAATAGATAATCAGTGTCTATCTTTCAGGAGTAGGAACTGGTCTCGAAAAATCTAATCCTTTCTTGGGAAAGTATGGGAAAGTATGGGAAAGTAGTACCTTCACGGTCTCAACGTATTCTCCCTGAAGAGATGGGGTGGGAGAAATACATTTATGACTTTACAAAATAAATGACGTGACCTTAACCCAAGAGGATATTATATTTCAAAGGCAAAGTTACATCCAATGGATAACAACGCAATGAAAAAAAAAACTCTGTGATCAGATCTGTTAATAAAAAAAAAAACTTTTGGTCTTACATATTTCTACTGAACAAAACAAAAATCGAACTAGCAAATGATCTCCACAATCCCTATAATCTTGACTTCAAAACAACAAACCTTGTCTCTGAAAGCAGATACTCTTGTAACATCCCTTTCGCTTCACAATGTAGATTCCTTCGCTCTACGATACATCTTCAGTTTTAAAGTTAAAAAACCCAGTGGTAATAAATTTTTGATACAAAGCTGTCGGTAAATATTTGTTCAATATGGCTTTTCACAGGGTATATCTTTTTTCGGGTCAGCGTATTCGGGAGAGCTTATTTTAAAGCTTGTAGGAACATTTTGAGGTACTGAATAACAGCGAAGAAACGCTTGACATAAGGGCGTTGTCTTTTTCACTCTTAGGTTTGACTCCTGATGAGCTCTCCCGCCTTGCTGCTTCTGGGACGCGAGTGGCTGGCGACTGACCATGTTACATGGGTGTTAAGTGAATTAAACACGATGCAGCAAGATACGCTGCTGTTGTGTCCGAACGCAGTAGTCAACATCACAAACGAGATGGCCAGAAAGAGGAAAATTTTCAATTTTGGCATGGTGAAACGGCTTGTTTTGCGCATGCCGCTTAATGTTGGTAAAGAAAATGGTCAGACCTTCATCGGTACCATGAATAAGTCGGGCAGTCACTGGGTTCTTGTGGTTGTCGAGATTCGACCATTCAAACGAATGCTTTATTGTGACACGTTAGCCTGGAAACCCCCATCAGATATTATCGATGTGGTCAACAGTTATATCAGCCACATTCCTCGTATTGAAAAGTATGATGATACGCATCTCTTCTTGGCTCACCACTCCATGGCTACGTCTCGGTTCGGCCATATGTGTGACTGGAGATGCCGCAACTATCCACTACAGACATGTTCTGACGTATGTGGAGTCATTGTTCTAATAATCGCAGCGCTGGCGGCTTTAGACCGACCCCTATTTCAGTTCTTGATTGGTCCCAGCGAGAAAAGTCAAGTCTATCTACAACGCCCAAGCCAACATGCCTATTTTTTAAGGAGAATCATAATGTGTTGGTTTGCCGAAAGTCGCATTGAAATCAATTATGTGCTTCTGCATCATGATTGGCGCGATAACGTCCGTACAGAGTCTGACCACTCCTCTTGCCTACGTCAAGACACGTCAAGTAGCACAAGGAAAAAGCTCAAGCTATCCCTAAATCCTAAAGCGTCGTCCTCCAATGAATCAATTCCTAGAGCAACAGAGGAACATGCATCAGCTAAAGAATGCTCCTCTCCTTCTCCTGCTGAAAACTTTCCAATTAATACTGCTCTGGTCTCCAATGGTTCCTCTTCAATTCCCAACTCTCCAATGTCTTCGGAAGAAACATTCTCGCCACCACGAAAGACGCTTTCCTCGCCTAACGATTCACGTGCGGTTCCCTCGTGTAAAAAAGGGTCCCAGTCATCTTCTGGGAAACCTCGAAATGTCCCAAGGTCCTCAGCTGACCACTTATCGAGTGCGAAAAAGCCTCAGCCTTTTACGCGCCCAGATCCAACTAGTCCTGCACAGAACAATAATCCACAAGCTTGTCCACAAGATAACCCTTCTGAGAAGAGCGTCTCTAATTCCCAGCCATCTCCCGGTACCGGGCCTCCGGCTCCGGCTCCAGCTTCAACGCAACCAACTTCTCAAGCGACAATTGCGTCTGATTCCTCTAACGCTGATTCAGCTGATTCATTACCTCCTCCCAAATGTGAAGGTATGACCAGATTCCAGTGCGAACATTGCGGAATGAACTTAAGCAGTAGAAACTGCTTATATAAACATAAAAAAGAAAACACAAGCCGACCAACAGAGTTGATGACAATGGAGGAAAAGACGCAGGAAATAAACATGTCGTTTGTCCAGAGTGCAAAGAAAAACAAAAAAGGTGAGATAAACCATCTCATTCCATCTTTCGGGACTAATATTAAAAAAAGTCATGATAAAACGTCAAAATAGCATTATCGCCTTCAGGGAGACTTAAAATGCAAGGCTAAGTTATAATTAAGCACGGTGAATAGTTTATGACCAACGTAACAGTCCAAATCGATTGGCATAAGAAAAAAAAAATTGCCAAAGTAAGCACTGCTTTGCACCACTTGTTATAACTTTGGTAATGAGAGTAAAAGCCTTTAAAGTCGTCCTTCATAACTCAAGCTGAATAGCTGTTGCAACGATGGCACTACCAACAACTTTTGTTTTATTTTTTCTTTTACGTTCGAAGGTTTGTCTATTCAAGCTTTGGTACTTTTCTCTACTCTATTATCCAGTGCAACAAAGACAAAATGCTTGCAACCGTAGACGAAGTTACAAACAATATGAATAATTAATACCATTATAGGTTATATATGTATTCTAGTCCATTGTAGGCCCTTATGTTTTCAGCTATTTTAGTAACTGTTATGTTCCCCATAACTTGTGGTTACGAGTTCCGATGATTTTATTTTCCTTGTCTCTCCAGATCAGCTCTTGCTACAACCGGCGATTTAATACACCACCTTAATAACGGTCACGACTTGAAGATCGAAAGCATGACGTTCAAAGACATGACAGAATTCGAGAAATGGAAGAATGAAGAAGAAAGGATGACAAAGAGTTGGTATGTGAAACACCGTGCTGACAGAAAGACCAAGCACTTCACAAAATCATGCTTGCGATGCAATAGAACTGGCACGTTTGTCTCCAAAAGCACGGGAAAGAGAGCAATGAAATCACAAGGATCTTGCAAGACTGGATGCTCATGCCCTGCCTTTATCACAACAAGAAGGTATCATGCAACAGGAGAGGTGCAAGCAGAGTTCTGTTTGAAATACGTTGGGCACAGACAGGAGAACGCCTTCAACAGAATGTCGAAGGAAATGCGCACCACCATTGCAGCTAAGCTTTCTCAAGGTATAAGCATGACCTCCGTAATGGACTACATGCGGGACAGTATGTGTGGGCCGCTCAATAGGGATCACTTAATAACCCGTGCAGACCTACACAATATCAAGCAACAGTATAGTCAGTCAGTCACCCAGACCCTTAGACAAGAGGGGAGCACAACGGGGGGAGCATGGTCCCCCCCAAATTTTTTTAGGCCCTTCAGGACTCAGTTTGGTCCAAAAATAAGGGGGGGGGGGCACCCCGGGCCCCTCCCCTAGATCTGCCACTGATCTTAAATGCGCAGAACAGGAACTTAACAGAGCATTTATAGTAAACATTGGTCAAATGTCTCATGGCATTTTAGCAAGTTCATATTGACATTTAATTAGATAGACATATTTTCAAGAAAACATTCCAGAACTTATTTCTGGCCCTTTATTGACTTTGTCACTGATCACAGAACTTGATCTGCAAAGCAAGGGGAGATGGAGTTAAAAGAACTCGGCAGTATAATTACTAATGAATGCAATGATTAACTGTTGAGTTCCCGTTGTAATATTATTGTTATAAAACGATCTATGTTACATGAAGACTTCAAGATGATTTCAGTCTGAGGTTATCTGACTGTTAAGGTGTCGTTGTTGGGAAATGAGTATAATTAAGCTCAACAAGAACAAATGTGTTATTGTTGAGATAAAATGAATACCTTTGATTAATTCTTTAATTATGTGCTTTACTTTGCTATAAAATCACAACTCTCTCGCCAACTACTACCTTTCTTGCACACCCTTTGCTGCAAATACTTTCCATTATACACAGGCCGGGAAAACAACAAGATTACGCTCGAAACAAACAGGCCCTGCATATCACCTTATATGACGAGTGTCTTTAAAACGTGGGAGAAGCATGCATCGATTAGAAAATGCGGACATTTCAAGCTTTGTTTGACGTTGTTGAAATCCTTTCGCGAACCATACGACCAAGCATTTTCGTCGGAATATTTACCTGTACTTCGCAGAAGTAGAAACACTAATAATAAGCGGCGTTAAAAGTACTTGGTACCAACCCCTTTCGAGTGTTTTGATTAGTTTCCAGTTCATTTTCGGCTTGGGTGACGCGCTGTCGCTAGTTCTGATCTTCTAACTAAAGTCTTCCAAGCTGGCTACCGCCATTGTTGGCAGCAATTCAAATCGCGCTTCTGTGACTCCGCGTGTGACGTATGGTCATAACTATGCTCTGACTGGATATTACTAAGAAGGCGTGAAAAATATTTCGCGAAAATAAAAAATACCGAAAATCCCCAAACTTTGTCAGAATATTGGTCTAGGTAACCTATTTCTAGAAAAAATAACTTTTAGTTTGATTGGATTTTTATTTTACGCGTACGGCGAACGAGTCGGTTCGGAGGCTCTCAGACAAGACCATATATTACTTCAGAATCGTTTAAAAATTAAAGAAGCAACAAACTCTGCTTCTAAAAATCTTAATAGAAAGAGCACAACTTAAACAATATTCTCGATGTACAATTTTCCTACTCTACAGCAAATCTAATATTTTTCGGATTTCTAATAATTTTACTTATTTTATCGATTTTTGACAGATATAAAATTGGCAAATTTCAGACACAAAAATCACTACTTGGTATTCGGCTTTGAGCCATAACTTACCTACCGATAGAAAGAGCAAAGTGTCTTCCTCAAATAAATGCAATAAAATTTTTGGGCAATCCTGCACCCTTGAGGTCAAAACACGCCATTTTGTCACGACATTCGAAGGACAAAAACGATACTCCGCAGGGGCACCCAACGAGAATATAGTTCAAAACCACATAAACATAGCATTGTTGAACGTACTTTAGTATTTAAACGGTAGATAAAGGCTTGTTTTTATCCCCTAAAAATTTTTCATCTGTTCGGATTTCCTAGCTGAAAGTATAGTGATCCCAAAATTATAGGGATCAAAATTTACCTTTTCGAAAATTTCAGCCAGAAAAAAGGCTCCCGAAAATTCTAGGTGACCTTTTTAGGGTAAAAATCCGTTCAAAATGGGCAATTATACCACTTTTCTGATGTTCGAAAAACCTAGGAGAGGCAGGCAAGCAAGAAATTTTACAGAAAATGATCCGAACATTCTAGATCTCAAATCGTCTTCCGAACAGATAATTTTCCGAAAATTGTCGTTGGGTGCCCCTGACTCCGGGTTAACAAGATACTTTTGCGTTTTTCCGTAAAGAATTCTTTCCATTTGCCGAGACAATTTGTTTTTAAGCAGCGATATGCCTTGTTCTGCGCATTTTGTTGGGAACTGTTTGCTAACAAATTACATTTTGCGTCTTCCAATATCTATACTCTTCGTAAGTTGTCGCGGTCGAAAGCCCATTGAAACGTCATAGCTTTTTAGAACTCAAAATAATTCACGCAGTTCAACGTACGTGGAATTGTAACTTTCTCAATATGATACTAAGAAACCCTATTTATACACCTACCATTTTTTTTAAAGCCTAACAAAGATATGCAACAGCATACTGACTTCCCATCCTGTGCCAAATACTTGTATATCACCGAGCAGGAATGTCACGTTTACGTGACACAGAACAGGTTCAAACCGGAAGCTGACTGAACAATTTAAGAGGCCCTGCGCCTAAGAAACGACCGATGATTTCCGGCTAAAAAATAAAATCGGCCGATTTTTATCTCCCAAGTAGAGGTTACCGAATACTATTCAAAAATGAATTTCTTTTGTTTCAGTTTCCCTTTAAACCAAAAATATCGAGCCGCAAACTTTTTTCGTCTGATAGCAGCAAAATCAGGCCTAAAATAAGCCCTCGCAAAAAACGGTTCAGAAATCACTATCGCAACGCAAAATAGCGAGAAAACCACACAGTGATGAAGAAAAAGGCCTTTTAATGCAATATCATTCGATAAACATCGAAAAACTGCCGAAGGGAATAAAAAACAAATTTTCAAATATTGCATAATAAATTAGATGGAGCGTTGGAGTTGATTTTAAAATAATAATTTCTCAAAAGTCCAACGCTGTTAAAAGCAATCACAGTGATGAATCAGACATTGGAGGGATATACACTACGATTCTGGAAAAACATTTTTCGGCCAAAGTATATTGACGTTGTACAAAGCGTTCAAAGTTGCAGTGTTTACCGTTATCTTGCTACTTCGGCGAAACACTTCTCTGTTGCCAATACGGCCGTGGATAGCGTGGTAAACGCCACTTTAATCCTTGCTAGGCGCTCAGAGACCATCCTAAGTAGAAGGACGTAGAATTAAAAGCGAAACGAAGATGAAAAATGGGCAGAAAAAGAAAAGAACTCGAAATTACCATCTGCTGACGAAACTTGAATCTGGAAAATGTCGTCGCGTGACAGCGGCCAATGACGTCATTTGTCTAAACTGCGGCGGAATCTAAACGAATGCACAACTTTTTCCCGGCCAGAAAGCACTTAGTGAAACAATGTTACAGTAATGTTATTTTTTCACAAGCGATGGTGACTTAAAAAGAAAAATTCCCGCACCGCCGCACCGTTTTGGCCTCAGCGTGATCTTATCGTTGTGGGGTCACGGGTCGACGCTTCTGGCCAGCGGTCTATTGAAAGAAATCTGATCCCATATCTCTTTTTGCGGGCGAGAATCATTCATGTCAATGTCCAATGTCTTCCTTCAAGGAAAAAAAGAGAGAGATATTGGAGTACTGTTGCTCCCGAGAACGAGAAACATCTTGGTCCCGAAAACTGAGTTCATTAGGCCCAAGAATTACATTTTTTTTTTTTCTCAAAGGACTAGAATCTGGCGCCATAAAATGTAGCTAACAGATTCAATTCTTGGCACAATGATTAGCCTCGCGTTTAGTATTTTCTTGGACATGAAAATATCGGGGGTGAAGCTATTCGGTGGAATGGCGGACTGACGGAATGACGGAAAGGAATGATGGAATGCATGGAATATTCTAAAATACGGAGTATACGGAATACTCTAAAACGCAGAATAAGAGAAAAATCGTTTAAAAAGGGTATACATGTATACAGTCGACTCCAATAACTCGAACCCTCGCTACTGACTCGAACCTCGTGCTAACTCGAAGTAATACTAATTTTTGTTTCTCTTCAGATCATTTCTATATAATTTTACCCTCATTAACTCGAACCATGTTTTAAGCGCGTGACAAGTAAAAGAATTGACTTACCTTAATGATTCGATTTAGCGCCCAGGCGCTTATTTACTTTTGGTGCCTCTAGGGAAGACGCTTATTTGGGACAGGGCGCTTATTTCTTTTTTGAGAAACAACCAAATGTTAAAAAAAAAGAACTTTGATATTTATTTAAAAACGAACAACATTTGAAACTGTAGCAGTAACAAATACTGACGGTGAATGCTCAGTTAACGCGAGGGACTTACCTTGAAACTTGTTGGGCACTTTGTCGATGGAACTTTCCTTCCTTATATTCACCTTTCTTAAAAAAGCTCGCAGTCAAAACAAAGTGCAAGTCGATTAAGGTAATGGATCAAGGAGACTGGAAAACGGACTTGTTGTCCCTGGATCCTTCCTCGCCAGAACGACCAGCCGAGCAATCTCCACAAAATTTGAAGAAGAGATCATTCCTTTGAAGACTTTGAAGAGTCTGGAAAATCTAAAGCAAGCGACCGAACAAATTTAGGCACAGATGCGGCCCCCATTAATTGGTAGTACAATCCTGTCAAGCTTAAGTTTACAATTCTTTTTTTTTAGAACAGCCGTTTTATGAAAGTTATCCGACATTAGATCCCCGTGATAGCGGACCCTTCACCCGTCAAGATGACTTTCAAAACCGTCATAAGGTCTATAGTGTGGCTTACGGCAGTACGAAAATTGAATTTTTAATATTGCCTCTGCTTTTTCGTCAGTCCAGTTCAAATCAAATACAGAATATTCTGTAAATTCCGTGTTTTAGAGTATTACGTATATTCCGTATTTTACAACTGATTGTATGTATTCCGCCATTCCGCCGAATAGGGTCACCCAGATATTGGGGAGGACATCATAA